ATCATTTTGTTTCCATGTTGTTGTACTCCAAAATTTGCCCTCCCTTTTCTTCAAGATATTCTCTTAGAGTTTCCAACTAATCAAAACTACCAAGGATTCTCAGACTCCAAGAAATGTCAATTGATCCTTTGTTTCATATGAGAATTAAGAATTGCAAGTATTTCAATCTGAATCGCATTTTTCTCTTATCCACTAGCCCTTGAACTAGGTTCTTTGACTATTGGAGTGTGTGACATCTTTATGAGCAAGATTTTTGAAGCATCATCTTCATTCATATCATACAAAGCGTGATTCAAGATGCAAGGTATGAGTTTGTGGATTACTTTTGATCAAGATTATTTTGAGGTATTCATTCAAATGCATGCTAAGTTTTGGAATTTGGTTTACATGGTTTTCTTGGTCTTCAAGTTACAAGATTAAAACATTTATTATGATCATTTAACATCTACGACGATACGATATCATGTTTCATTCTTTCAATTCTTGAGCCCTTAAGTCAAGGCATATATGGTCATGATTCCTACAATATGCAAATGGACTTATCGCACCAATCAAGGTTCTGGACATTATAATGTGAAATATTTTGCATAGCCAATTATATCACTTGTCACACGAGTTTCTTTGGATCTCATTTCAAATGCCTAAAATTCAAAATCTAAGTGTTCTTGTAGAAGATCAGGGTTTTGACATAAAGATCCAAAGAATTCAAGACATTTTTTAGATTGGGAAGAAAGTTAAAAATTGAATTTTGTTTTCAAGCACCATTTTTTAAGGCAATTCAATTGATCCTCCTCCTAAATTATAATACACCACTCAAAGTTTGGTTGCAAATCTTACAAAACTCTCTAAAGTTTATATTGTTTTCTACAAGACATTCAAGTATAACTTAATTCAAGTTTTACATGATTTCTCACAAGGCTTACAAAGAAAATTTCATTGTTTATAAGTTTGTTTCATTATAAAGCTTAAAACAAGAGAGTTTGAAAATTTAAAATCTAAATCAATACAAGATGTTCCTAAAAGATAAATGTTTTAAATATTTTGAGTTTTTTTCCTCCAAGACTTCTTCCTCTTCAAGATTTCTTCCCAACTTCTATGTGTTGTCCTACTATGGCCACAGATTCTCCCAAAGGAAGTTCTTCATAACTTTACCATCTTTCCAAAGTCTTGACATCTTCACCCATTCCTCAAGACAATCTCATCACATGAAAACAAGAACATGGAATGAAATGGTCAGTAAAATAATCAAGACTTGAATGATAAACAAAGAAAAGTTTCAAGAAGTTTCCAGAAATTTTCTCTTCAATTTCATCATGAGGGTTCGGGTGAGGAATCAGAATATAGGGGGGGGTTTCAAATCATGTTCAAAGAAATACAAAGCCTCATTATTTTATAAACAAAATCAGATTCTAGTATCAATCACGGGCCAAGTTTCATCTCTACTACAAATCACAAATTTAGTTTGGTTCATAGTGAGACAAAATCAAGGAAAAACAAACTCAGAAAAAGGTCCATCATAGTCGCAAGTACAGAACTGTCAAGCCCAACAAGAAGCATCACAAATCAGAATTGCAAACTCATTAAAGTCCAACATCATGTTTCAAGCAACAATTAAAAGCCTCATTTTTCTTTGTTTCAACAAAAGTCAGAGCTACAATATCAATCATAGGCCTATCCCTTTACTACAAATCTTAAACAAATGAATAAAAAAGATTTGTTTGGTTCACAGTAAGGTTATAAATTCAAAAAAAAAGTAATGTACTGCACAAGTACAAACTCAGTTGAAAAAGCATCACAAAAAACCAGAATTCACAAAGCCAGCAAGCAACAAGTATAAACTCAGTTGAAAAAATAAGCATCACAGGAAACCAGAATTCACAAAGCCAGTAAGCAACAAGGACAATTCACTAGGCCACAGTTCACCAAAAATATACAAAAGCCCAGCTGCAGAACCAAAGGAGGAGAGGATTAAAAAGCCCTAAGATTCAAAACCCTTCAAGATCGTGCAAGCCAAACACTCAGTTCACAAAAAATATCTGAAACACAGTCACAGAACTGCAAACGAGTATCATAAAACCCTTCAAATTGTTCACAGAAGAAGCAAAAAAACACAGTTCACAAATACATAAACAACAAACCTTAACCCTAATCATCATTTTCCTAGCTACCAAGACCCTTCAGAAATTCGCGAAGAAGAAGAATAAACACAGAATCGCGAACAGAAAGGAGAAGAGGAAGAAATTTCAAACACAAAAAGATCTCACCAAAAGGTGGCAAACTTGCGCTTTCGAGTCTCACGGACTTTGTATCTCTCCTTTCCTTTCGTTTTTGCTTTTGTGTACGCATCCATCATCATAATATTTGTTGTTCTTGAATATGAGCATTAGAGTTTTGAATTTCCCCTTTTATATCTAGGGTTCATCGCTCAAAATATGCAAAAATAATTCATAGATTAGTAATCAGAGAAGTAAAATGAACCCAAAAATGTAAAAAAATTTAGGATCAGAGCTTCACAATCGTGGAGGTGTTTTCTGGCGCGGCCAACCCATCGTCTCTGCGGAGACCCATCAGAACAATTAAGAGAGAGAGAGAGAGATGAGAGCATCCCAGCAAGAGAGAGAGAGAGAGAGAGAGAGAGAGAGAGAGAGAGTAAAATAAGAAATGAAGAGATATTTATGTTTTTGGTTTTAATTTATTTTATTTTTTATGTAATTATTTTGTTTTGGTTAAGCTAATCAGGCGGTGACACTTGTCACCGCCATTATGGTTTCTTTGTGATTCCACGCAGGTACCCCATCCTTCATACCAGGCACCATCACTCATAGTCACTGGATCAACATTAGACAACTCAAAAAACATTTCCCACGATACACCCTCAGATGCTACAGGCATTACAACATGGACATGTAGTTGGGCCTTGGACGAATTGGCTTTCTGCACCCCCCCTATTTGTTGATGTCCAGGCCCATTATCTTTCTTTTTTTTGTTACAAACAACTTTTTTTTCTGATTAAAAGAAAGGGTTTGTTTTGAGCCTAACCAAAAATAATTTCCCATACCCCCTATTTTACTTCTAACTCAGGCCTAACATTTTTCATTTTTATTTATATTTTCCTTATTTATTTATTTATTTATTTTATTTAACCAAAAATACAAAAAAAATATATATTTCTTAAATAGTTAGATTAAAATATTTTAATTATTTTTATTTTATTTTTACTTCATTTATTTTTCTAAACAAATAAAACCTTAAAAATATTTTCCAACAACTAATTTCTTTTAATTAACTTAGACCTAGATTTTTCTACATCTCAATTATTATTCCTCTTTTATAAAATTGATTTTCATCTTAATTTATTTTATTTAGGTTTATTAATTTATTTTAAATACAAAGTTAATCAATTAAATTAATGATTAAACCTTTTTCCATCAAAAAATCACCAAAAAAATAATTTCCTCTCTCCTTTCTTTACTTTGTATAATTTGCGCATTTTATTGTTTCGCATTATCATTAATGTAAATGGCTTGTAATAGATAATTAGATTTTGTTGCTTTCCTCCCCCTATTCACAAACTTGTACCCCCCCCTCCCCCATTCTCAAAGCATTGTAATAGCGTAGGACATTTAAATTCTGTAATTTATCATTTTCCTTATTATTGTTAGTAATTAGGGTTTGCATGACAAGACTTAAAATCAAACCTAGACAACCCTAATTCCAAAATAATATACATGCATTCAAAGCACTTTACACACATGCACCTCTACGGTTAACCTCACTTGTTGCCTCAGATTTAAACAGTCATGTCCCTCAAATGTGGGATGCTTTAGCAAAGATCCTCAATTAAAAGATCTTAGTCCCTCGATGACCCTTTGATGTCTCCTTCGATAAACGATCTTAGTCCCTTACGACAATTGCTAAAGTATCTTACAAGTTTCCTTCTATGACTGTACAATGACCCACGCCTGTCCCTCACATCCAATGATATGGCTCCCTACCAACTAATGGTAAAGTAGCATTATCTAAAGGAGGAGCAAAAGAACATAGACTTTTTTGAGATGGTAGATTGCTCGTGATTGCTTGCTCACAAACCAAAACAATTTTCATACCTCACACTTTCAAAAACAAACATCTTTTCAAACATTCCCTTTTCAAACAAATGTTTTCAAAACAAACACTTTGTATGCATTCTCAACGATACAAGAATCATTATAAAGTTTTTCGTACTAAGGCGTTTTCAAAATGTTTCCAAAACAAACATTTTGTATACATTCTCAACGATACGAGAATCATTACAAAATCACCACTTTCAAAAAATATTTAAAACATATTTCAAACTTACACAAACACAAAGCATTTCAAAGTTAGCTAGCAATTAAGAGCGTGTAGATAACTACGGATGAAAAAGGTGCTAACACCTTCCATTTTCATAACCTACCCCCCAAACTCAAGAAAAACTCTCAAAAGTTATTTCCTGTTCTTTTCACTATTTCCTTAATTAGATAAAAGAAAAGTCGGTGGCGACTCTTGATATCCACAACATTTGCGATAAAATGCAAAACACCCAAGTCGGTTCTCCCACCGTATCACACATGTCTAGGAACTTTCCAGGAAATTCTTATATGTTTTTTCCCTGTCTCCCACCCAACTGTCAACTTTGCTGGAGGTCTAGCTTATGAGATGCTTCTTAGTGGAGAAGGTTTTAAGGGAGAAGCGATCTAATAATATCCTAGAGAATTTTGTCTGTGGTGACTAACCTAAACAAGCATACCCGGGAAGGCGGGGGTAGCGTTAAAGTTAATAAAGGTAAGAAGGAATGATCTAAAGGTACATGTAAAAGGAGTGGCTTCCTAGACACGTGTTTAGAAAGCAGAGGGGGGGGGTTGAAAAAGTTGCTCGAGGAAGCTCAAAGTGCTCTCGAAAGCACGAAGGATCATGTCTTTCAGCTTATGGATGATGTTGTGGAGGCCTCTGATCATTATTTTGAGGAGCCGCGAAGGAGGATGGCTCTTCTTTATCCCCATATGGATTTAAGACCCCTGGATCCTTTTAAGGTGGTTCGAAATAGGGAGATGATGGACGAATAATGACTTCTTTCTCTTTTCCCTATTTTGGTTGTAATCTTGTTTAACCTTTCTGGGTTTTTGTAACTTGTTTTAATAGCGGCTTCCTTTTGTGGGTGTTTATATATTAATTGCTTTCAGTGTTAACTGTTCTGTTGTTTTACCTTAATCTTAAGACGTTTCATCGTTATGGTCACCTCTAGGGGCAACAAGGATCATCTCTTGGGGGATCTAGCATACATGATTATCTCTATGGGCAAAAAGGATTGTATCTTAAGGGATCTAACATATATAATTATCTCTATGGGTGGTAAGGATTCTCCCTTGGGGAATCAAGCATATATAATTTCCTTTGTGGGCAGCAAGGATCCTCCCTTGGGAATCCAACATTCATAATTGCATCTACGGGTATCAAGGATCCTCCCTTGGGGGATCCAACATGCATAATTGCCTCTATAAGCTGCAAGGATCCTCCCTTGGGGGATCCAACATATATAATTGCCTCCGTGGGCGATAAGGATCCTCCCTTGGGGGATCCAGCATATATAAATGCCTTTATGGGTGGCAAAGATCCTCCCTTAGGGGATCTAGCATATATAATTGTCTCTATGGGCAGCAAGGATTCTCCCTCGAGGGATCCGGCTTACATAATTGCCTCTATGGGCGGCAAGCATCCTACCTTGGGGGATCCATCATATATAATTGTCTCCATGGGCGGAAAGGATCCTCTCTTGGGGGATCTATCATATATAATTGTCTCCATGGGCGGCAAGGATCCTCCCTTGGGGGATCCAGCATATCTAATTGTCTCCATGGGCGGAAAGGATCCTCCCTTGGGGGATCCAACATATCTAATTGTCTCCATGGGCGGAAAGGATCCTCCCTTGGGGGATCTAGCATATCTAATTACCTCTATTGAGAGGCTTTCTTGTGAGTCTGGATTTTCTAAATAAAGATATGATGTAGTGAATAAATATAAATAAATAAGGATGAGATGCCTCATTAAAAACCCCGCTACCCTGAAGGCGCATAGGGAAAAGAGTGTATCCCAACTAACAACTTGTCATTTCAATTGGCAAAGTTTTAATAATCACCTATGTAAAAATGCTAACTAGGTAAATAAAAAAAAAAGATAAAAACAACTACATAAATGAATAAAAGAAATGAAATTACTGGATAGGAAGTTCTATAGTAGAAAGGAACATTCCTTCTTACTTTCGGGCTCCACCGTGTTGTGAGGCCGGATGGGAAGATTCATTGCTCTCTCCTGCTTCATCGGGCAGTGTTATCCTCTGAAAGGCCTTTTTTGCCCTTACACCTAGAAGGTGTGTCCTCTTAAACTTGAGGCTTTTTGCATAACACTTTCTAGAAAATTTTTGATCTCCTCAAACCACTCCCACTCGCCCATTAAGGAGCGGGTATTTCATGCATAAATACAAGGTAGATAAAGTGGCTCTCATCTGGTTAAAGTCTAGTTGCCCAATAATCATATTATATGAAGAGGGGGTATCAATGACTAGATAATTAACCTTTATCTCTTTGGCACGGTCTTGCTCGTTGAACGTGATCCTCAAGGGGAGGTATCCTTCCACTTACACTTGCTCTACTGAAAACCCGACCAATGTTTTTGTAATCAAAGTAGATCTTGCTAAGGCTTATAATATGATTAGCTAGTATTTTATGTATTTTTTAGTAGAGATTGGAATTTCTGATAAGCTGAGGGAAATTATAATGCATGCTACCACTTCACTAAAAATGAGAGTACTCTAGAATGGAGATAGAGGTGAGTATTTTTCTACCAAGAAAGGACTAAGACATGGATATTTGTTTCCCTCTTATCTTTTTGTATTAAGTTTAGACAAACCCTCTCATATGATATGCGATGTAGTAGGAGAAGGGAAGTGAGAGTGTATGAAAGATGGAAGAAAAAGTCACGAAATTTCTAAAGTGATGTTTGCAGATGATTTTCTTTTGTTTAAAAGATCATCTAAGAAACAAATAAATTGTAGTATGGTTGTCCTGAATAATTTATGTGCAATCTCTGAGAAAAAGATCAGCTTTGAGAAGTCTAGTATCATATTTTCAAAAAAAATACTCCAGTCCATCTCATAAGAAAATTTTCTCAAGTCTCGAGCCTTAAGGAAACTTTTGAGCTAGGAAAATACCTTGGGATTCCACTAACATTGAAAAGCCCTAAGGTTAAGAACTATCAGTATCTGATAGAAAAAGTTAAGAATAAGCTATTACATTGGAGAGGTAATCAACTCTCATTTACGGGTAGGACTACTTTAGTCGAGTCAGTCATAGAAGCACTGCTTACATATACAATATGAGTTATATGATCTCAAAAACTTGTCTAAAATAAATTCAAAGGATCCAAAGGAATTTCATATGGGGATATAAGGAAGGAGAGAAACATTTACATACCATTAAATTGAGCAAAGTAGTAAACCCTAAGAAAATGGTGGGTTGGGATTAAGAAATCTAGTGGATATGAATAAGGCTTGTATTGCTAAACTGGGTTGGCATATAAAGATTAGAGATATATCTTTTTGGTATGAAGTCATAAGAAAAAATATAATAGAAATAGAGACTTTGGCAATGAACTGCAGAACAAAACCTATGACACTAATCCGTGAAAAAACATTGTTAACTTATGGCCTAACCTAGAGCAAATGTCATTCTCGAAAGTGAGAATTGGGATAAACATTGGGGCTTGGAAAGATTGTTGGATAGAACCAGACATAAAGCTCTAAGATCACCTTATTCAACCAAATGTATTCTCTAAATTGAGCAGTGCTGCGGGTTTAAGCCCTGAAAATTGTCATGAAGTTGTTTATTGTTAAAAAAGGATCTAAAGTTGATAAAGACTAAGATTCATTGCTTATAGAAGTAAAAAAGGTTAAGATTCATTTCATCCACAAAATAAAATGAGACAAGGAAAGGATACTACTATGATATACATAAAAGTTAGATCTTTATGCATTGATGACAAATTGATATGTTTAAAGAAGGAAAGGTAACTACTGTAAGTTGCTTTTGTTGGACTGTTCCCATCGCATCGCAAAACACTATCCATAAAAGCTAATTTAAGACTTTATTTGAAAACTACTTCTACATGCAACAAACTAACGACACAATTTTAATTAGGGGCATCCCACCCAGTTTAGACCTACCCGCAAAAACCTTAAAATAAAGAGACGTACATACGGTTTAAAATTTTATTGTCTCGGAGGAAAAGAGGATTTGTAGGATTTGTCGGACAAATCTTATCTTATATTTTTAAATTTAAAAGTTATAAAAATTATATTGATATACACGCATACAAAAGACCGCAAAAAATAGATCAATAGATATAATACAAAATTATCTAAAATAAACACAAAATAGACATCAATCAGCAACTAAACCTATTTTATCACTTTTAATATTTACTATTTATTATAATTTCTTTTAGGTAATGTAAATTTGTGTCTCAATTCCGAAAATTAACAATTAAATATAAAAAATTATTTAAAAATTATATGTTAATTTAATTAAAATTTTATAATTGATTTTTTATAATTTTTTCAACTCAAACTATTTATATATAGGTTTCTTGTATTTTAAGAATACAAGTTAGCATGTTTCTTTCTTTTTTAAAAAGTATATTAATTCTTTACAATAAAAGACTTAAATCATATTATTAATAAGAAATGATTGAATAGATGTTGCAATAACAATAAAAACTTAAACTAACAAGAGATTAAGTCACTCTTGTCTTTTGTCAGTTTAGTCTCCTAATAAATTTAACATGAGAGTTTATAAAATAACGCGTTAGTAAACGTTTGCATTCTTTCATAATTTCGTCAAATTCTGCCAAATTTAATTGTTGACTATTCACATTATCCATCCAACTCGAGTTCATCCACTCATTTGATAGCTACTAGAAGGCGTAAGGCTTCCTGTATATCAAACTCTGTTATAAGTGACATTCACTCCGTTCCAGCTACCACAAATTGCCTATCTTCATCACTTACACAAATATTTATTCCTACTTTATTAAAATTCGTAGAGAAAGATGCATCTATATTGCATTTGAGATGACTTACTAAAGATATTTTTTAAATATTAATCATGTGAGTTTTATTTTGGTTAAAACTTCTCGATTGGAGTTGTTATACATTTCTCCATCCCAAAAATAAGTAAGAGGCGCGATTAAAAATTATTTTCACTTAATCTTCTATCTGATTTCAAATATAACTATTTATACCCTTCTAAATACTCTAAACAATAGTTGCTAACAAAGCTTGTTGGACTTAATTTGACTTGTGGAAAAGAGAAAATTATAGATATGAAAGGGATAATTGTCTCGTCACTTATTGTATAATATGTCTTAAATTCACTAGCCCTCAACACTCAATAATTTTTTAACAATAGAAGACAAGATGTTATCATCTTCTATTTCATCTCCACAAAGACCATAATAGTTCTGACATTGAACTCCTATATGTATGAACTATCATATTGTAGGCACATAGATTTTACATTAACGGCAAACAAAAAATTGTACCCTCATAGGAGTCTTTATTTTGTAGAGGAGCTGTCAATTCTCACATATCTTTAAATAAATTATATCAACAGCCTCTTCTATATAATAATAATAATAGGTACATGTCATTCTTTTTAAACTTTCATACTATTTTGTCAAACATGGATAACTTCAAATAAGAGAATTTTAAAAACTTTTTCTGCTTCTTCTACTCTAACAAATATAGGTTAAATTGTTTCATACTATTTTGTCAACATGAATAACTTCAAATAAGGGAATTTTAAAAACTTTTTCTGCTTCTTCTACTCTAACAAGTATGGATTAAATTGTTTCATTGTTTTCGTCTGAAATCATCAAATTTGAGAGTTTCAAATGTTCTATTATCAGAATATTTGACCACGAATTTATCAACAAAGAACTATCATACAATCAATTGTGACCCCTAAAGTGGATTCGAACACTCCACCTATAACCTCCTCGCACAACTTCAAATACTACACCCCACATAATGGGAGTTAAGTCCAATAGTTGACTCAAGAAAATCACAACTAAAAAAATATTTTACTTTAAATAACCGAGTGATCAAATTACATAAACTCATCATAAACTTCCAAACTTGTTTACCCACGCTTATATTTCTTAACCTCATACCTTTGTCATTCTAATACATAAACAAACAAAAAAACCAATACCCTTAGTCTGACCCGTTACGCGCCCACCAAAAAAAAATCATCATTTTCTCAATTTTGTCACTTAAGGACGATGGGACTAAGAATATATTCATAATTTAATAAGGAATAAATTGAAGAACAACTTACTACAAGAATTTATATTTTTCCAAACTCTTTGTTTAATTAACTGGAAAGTGGCTTTTTTACTCCTTCCAATCATGGACGGAAGAACAAGATGCTTACTTGTTCCCAAAACCTGTTGAACTCCTAGGATATTAACTATCTCATCATTTACATTTCTACTACTAAATAATTCTGATTTTTGCAGATTAGTAGCTTGTTTTGATGCTTCTACATAAGTGTGAAGAATATGTCAACACAGTCTCTTCATTCACCTCAACTTGAAAGAAAGAGAAAACAATCATTAACAAACAAGAGACGAAATATGATAGGAACATTCTTATAAATATTTGATGACGTGTAAATAATTGTATAATGGTTGGAATGATGAGTGCGTGCTATGAGAACAATAGTTATTAATTAGTATCGTATAGAAAAACTTAAGTCTGTCTCAAATATTGTGCTTATGGTATATGTTAATTAGAGATATAAATTAAGCAGACTTTCAAAACATTTCATTGGAAAATGCAAGAAATTTCAAAATATTTATGTCTTCATAATAACAAGGTAATTGAACTTTCAATTACAAATAATTACTTGTTATTGTTGCCAAAAATGCAGATCAGTGATA